TATTAGAACTGAAATGTTTTTTTCCTTCCATCCCGCCATTATATCCATTCTTATTCCTTTCACCCGCTTCCCCATGTAATCTTTGTCCTTGTGCCCCATAAAAACAGCTGGCTTGTTGGGGGGTGGAGAGCAGATTTTTCATGGATGGAATACTGCTGGAATAAATGTTCATTTATGACTTAACCCTGTCTGCTGAATTGGCTCAAGTAGTGACAGGCAGCCCGGACCCATTGGTTGTCCAGTTTCATTGTGAGCACTGGATGAAATGATAGAATTGTGTTTCTACAATGCCTGGCATATAGGATGCATCAACAAGTTGTGTTTTTCTTGCAGAACTTTGGTCCCCATGAATACAGACTTAAAGTGGCCCTATGCAACTAAGTTCCCTAAAGCCAACACACACACACACACACACACACACACACACACACACACACCAGCCAGGATTTGAACTTGGCTTTTCCAAATTAACAAATTTTCAGTTTCATCTCATGGGAGAGCCTTCCCAGCCTTACCCAAACCTAGCCAAGTCCAAAAGACGGGATCTTCCTCCTACTTCTTGAGGTGGTATTCTATAAATCAAGTCCCAGATTTTTATGTGAATATGCAAGGGGCTTCTGGCAATTCAATAGCAGTCGTGAAATCTATTATGTATGGGTCGAAAGTAAATGTTTTACCTTCATTAAGAGGCTCCAGATTAAAAACAGATGGCCTCATCGAGAGAAAAACTGCTACTTCCTCTTCAGCTCCAACACTGCCCAACTGCCTTCCTTCAAAGGGTTTCATTTTCATCTAATCATCTTAATTGGACAAGGCCTTCCCCTAGCTTTGCCAGGAAGCCAATATCTTGGAAGGGAAAAGTTAGCTGAATTTGCTGAGCATGACTAAGCACCAGACACCGTGCACAGTCTCACCTCCTTTGAGAATGGTTTGAAATAAGTATATTTGACATCACTTTATAAGAAACTAGAGATCGAGTAATTCACCTGGAGTCCTCCAAGAGCAAGTGGAAAAGTGACGAGCTGATTTGAAAGTCAAAAGCCAATGACAACTGTGGGGAAAGGAACTTTGCAGTTTTGAGAAAAGTTGTGAAAGTGGAAATAGACAAATCTCATAAGCTCCACTAGAGATCACAGTGAGGCAGTAGAACAAAAAGAAGAGAAGCCTTTTACTAAAACACAGAAAATATTGACCACATTCTACTTTCAACCCAAACCCAAGCCCAGGCTCCATGCCCTGTGCAGTTTCAAATTACTAGAAGATGGTCTGACACCCAGACTTACTAAATAAAAGGATCCTAAATCTCTACTTGTAATTCTTGCAAATTCTCTCATTTTTCTGGTGTTTTAAAAAGTTGCCCCTTTGGAAGAAGACGGTAGGTGGTGTGTGACTGTTTCACTCTGAATTTGCTAAACTGATTTCTGAAAATCCCTAAGAGGAAGCTAAGTTAGTGCCTGGATTGTATTGGCAAAGTATTTGTTCTTCAATTATGACATGAAGACACTCAAGTGGTTACACAATCGGGTGTGTTCTGTCAGGTGACCTAGTTCTATTTTCAGCTACATATATAGAAGCAGCAGCCCTGAGAGGTGGCCTGGCAGAAGGGAAGCCAGTGTGCATGTACAATTCTCATTTCTAAGAAAACACATGACCACAAAGTTCCCACCCAATCTGCTCCAGGACTTAGAATCAATGTTTGGGAGAAGAATTTAGAAAATAGATGTTGGGGGGGAGGGGGGGCTTTTTACATGCACTCCCCTATTTTTTTTCTTTTTTGCAAACACTCCAGTTCTCTCCTATGCTGTCTGAAATGAAGTCAGGAGCAGGACTAGTGGGACTGGGGTGTGGTGGGGGGACCTTCTTCACACCCCTTTGACATCCCACTTTCTCTTGCAAACAAGTAACCTTATCTGGTCATCCTGACTTCAGAGGAATAACTGGCTCAGACAAGCTGCCTTGTTCAGGGTCACTCAGCTCACAAGTGATGTTGCCTGGAAAGTCCAAAGTGGGTGCTGTGTGTACCTCATCCCTTCCCGTCAACATTCACTTTTCAGAGTGTCAGTTATCTTCCTAGTGGGTCATTCCCTCTGACAACGGTTTGAGGAGTTTGACAGTTTATGCTGTTGGGGAGCGAGAGGGGCAGAATTATTGCAAGACATTAAAAAACCCAAATCACTGTAAGGTATGTTCTAGCCGTGGGCAAACTACAGCCCGCGGGCTGGATCCGGCCCGTTTGAAATGAATAAAACTAAAAAAAAAAAAAAAAAAAAAAGACCGTACCCTTTTATGTAATGATGTTTACTTTGAATTTATATTAGTTCACACAAACACTCCATCCATGCTTTTGTTCCGGCCCTCCTGTCCAGTTTAAGAACCCATTGTGGCCCTCGAGCCAAAAAGTTTGCCCACCCCTGGTTTAGACCAAAGAACTTATTCGTTCATAGATAGATAGATGGATAGATAGATAGATAGGAGATAACTTTTTTTCAAATATAGTGACTATTGGGATTTTCTTTAAGTATAAATGCAAGTCAAAGTATTTTTTAATTCCTAAACTTTTTGTCAGTCATCTGATGCAATTACAGTTATGTGGATATCTTAGAAATTATTTGACATTAAAATAAAGTTATCACCCTAACCGGTTTGCCTCAGTGGATAGAGCTTCGGCCCTTCGGACTTCAGGGTCCTGGGTTTGATTCCTGTCAAAGGCACATGCCTGAGTTTCAGGCTCAATCTCCAGTACGGGGCGCGCAGGAGGCAGCCAATCAATGATTCTCTCATCATTGATGTTTCTATCTCTCCCTCTCCTTTCCTCTCTGAAATCAATTTTAAAAAAATATTTAAAAAGAAAAAGACTCACACTATCTTATTTTTTAAAAAATACAGTTATCGAATTAGTTCTCATACCTAAAGCCTATGAATTACATCTAAGCCTTGCTGTGTTACTCCTTACAACAATAACAAAGGTCCTTTTAGCAAATTAGTACCAAAGGTTCCATTCTGGCGGTGCAGAGGCTTAGGGACAGGAGTTCCTCTTCCCCTGACTTTCAAAATCAAATGCAGATTGACCCCACCTTTTAGGAGGCCAAGCTCCTCCGCTCCTGCATTACAAAGCCCTTCCTCTGGGGGAGCCGGTGGTTTCTGTCGCCTTCTCCGCGGCCCATTCTCTAGCTGCCCCCTCGCCTTGTCACTGTCCCCCTGCAGCTGGTTCTCTCCCTCCCTCCGCATCTAAGGGAGACAGTTTGCTTCCCTTGATTTCTGCAGACTTTTGAGGGCGGGAGTGGGGGCAGGGAGAAGATGCGGCTCCTAGATCAAAGCTACAAACTGGGGCTATCCTTTCAATTCTCCACTCAGTTACACCTACTTCTGCACATGACTGGCTTCTAATGAAGCAACACTTACTGCTGGGGGCGGGGACTGAAAGATTGGATGTCACTTAAAAGTAAACCATAAAGACGTTCCTCTTACCTGGCAGGCTCACCATACTTCTGAATAAGTCCTGAATTTCTGTAGGTAGGCTACTATATGGGCATTGATGTCAGGCACTCCAGACCTGGCATTAATTTCCTATTTTTCACTATTTTCTATCCCAATTAACGTGTAAGTGTCTGGAGAGCAAAAATCATGCCATGTGCCCCTGTCTTCTCTATTCCTATCACAGAATTGGACCCAAGGGGATGGTTCCATCAGAAGGTGCCTGCTGATGAAAATTCGTTAAAATACAGTCCAGCCAGCCCTAACCGGTTTGGCTCAGCGGATAGAGCACCGGCCTGCAGACTCAGGGGTCCCAGGTTCGATTCCGGTCAGGGGCAAGTACCTTGGTTGCGGGCGCATCCCCAGTGGGGAGTGTGCAGGAGGCAGCTGATCGATGTTTCTCTCTCATCGATGTTTCTCTCTATCCCTCTCCCTTCCTCTCTGTAAAAAATCAATAAAATATATTTTAAAAAAAATACAGTCCAGCCAATGTGACTCAGTGGTTGAGTGTCGACCTATGAGCAAGTCACGGTTGGGGGAGGTCATGGTCAGGCAGACACATGCCCAGGTTGTGGGCTGCATCTCCAGTAGGGGGTATGCAGGATTCTTTCTCAGTGTCCATGTTTGTCTCTCTCCCTCTCCCTTCCTCTCTGAAATCAATAAAAATATATATTTTTTAAAATAAAATTAGTTGAAATACAATATTTGGGTTATGCAATGAACACACGGCAGTTTACATGATAAAAAAATAAACACAGAAAAGAATGATATTAATTTTTAATGGTTTACAGCTACAGTATCCACTTTTACTAGTATAGGTATATATACATGTATAAATATAGTTACAGACCATAAATATCCACATGGCAAAATAGGCCTGCCGCTAGGCAGATACACACGAAATATCTCTGCAACTAAATAAACAAACAGATGTAATACTGAAGAAAAGTAGATACTGAGGTATTTTTTTTTTTTAAATCAAAGTGACTATTGCCTATATATCAGCGATTTTCAACCGGTGTGCTGCAACAATTTTTAAAACATGTAATACCTGACTATTTAGTCAGGGGCACTGACCTCTTTTCCCTTAGATTGACAAATAAAAAAATGAAAACAGCCAACACAACAATAGCTGTCAGATGTGAATGAATCAAAATTATACCTATTTTTTTTGTCAGATCAGCAAAATATATATTTTTTGGTGTGCCACAGAACTGTAGTAATTAGTTTATATGTGCAATGAGATGGAAAAGGTTGAAAATCGCTGGCCTATTTTAAAACATTCTTACTGTAGGAGTTCAAGTAGTTATCAAAACCTTGTAAAAAACAAACAAAAAAACCCCACAAACAATAAAACCCTTGTTTCATAACCTAAAATTGTAACTTCAACTAACACAAATTGTTAAACTAAACAAAAAAATATTTCCATTATAAATAGGTAAAATAAATAATATTATTCTTGATGAAATTCAATCATGGTGTTTTTATATATATTTGGAAATTGTTCATAGACTGGTCTTTTTTTAAAAAAAATGAAATGCATGAAAGCTTTTCTCAGAATCTACATGTTACTTTAATGAAAATTAGTATATATATATATATATATATATATATATATATATTTCAACCAGAGTGAAAATCCCATATTTATACATAGAATTTTCATTCTGAATGAGCAATCTATTCCTCTTTTTAAAAGAAGTATATCCCTTATACCTGAAACTAATACAAAATAATATTGAATGTAAACTGTTATTTAAAAATAACTTAAAAAGTATATCCTAATAATGAAAACATGTTTAACTTCTTGTAAAAATCACTTCTTATAGAATTCACAGTGATTAGTGTGGAAAAGGGCATTTTACAGATTTTAGAAATTTCTTTAGAAACATTCATTTTCTTATAAACAATTACTTTAGAATATTTGTTTTACCAAGTTTTAATTCAGCAGTAAAAAGTAAAATTCACTTTTTTTTTCCTATTATCCCTGGTTATCCAAAATCACTATGCTCTTCATCTTTTAACATTCAACCTAGGAATTTTACTGGCACCAAATTTGATCAAATTTTTTCAAATTCCATACTGCCCAGTTAAGGCCCACAGGAACACATTTAATGAAAAGTCATCTGAACAGAAGTAATACATTTTAAGTCAAAAAAATTATCAAATTATTTTATATTTTGTAGTGACCTATGAAATCAACATTCACTATAACATTCAGTGTTCTCAGAATGAAATATTTACTTTTAACAAGATAACATATATAAAACAAATATTATACATTGTTCTGGAATTGTCATCCTTAAGTAGAAATAAACACTGAACTTATTCTGTTTTTTGGTCCCTGCCAAAACATTCTAGTTATTTATCAACTCTTCTTACACTAGGCTGGGCATCAACCTTCAACAAAATACTAGAAAAATTCTCTAAGCAGAAACAAAGAAGTCTAATAATTCATTCCATATTTTCAAAGCTCCTCAATTCTTGCTTTAAAATAAACAAATGACTTCTGGGAAAACTCCAACAGAATTTCATTGTGATGTATTCCATCTTCATTTCCAAGCACATCCCAAAGCAAGTGAGAGCTTCTTCACATTCTTCTCCATTATAATGCAGTCTCTCACCACTAATGGATGAAATATGGTAAATCCAGCTTTATAGGAGTCGCCTCATTAGAAGGCTTCTGAAGCAGTCAGGTTCCTGAGCCGAAGAGTTTGTACATCAGATTCAGAAGTTTCTGCAGGAAATTCAGCTTGTCTCCAATTCTCCTTAATTGAAGGGCACACTCAATTTCAGCCTCTGAAAAAGAATGCAAAACATCAAAATTAAATTGACCACATTCCAAACTACAACCAGCAAGAATGATAAGTTGAGTAGGTTTCCCGTGAAACATTCCTCTTACTGTTGGTTTTATGTACACCTGTTTTCTGTACGTGAGATGGAACACATACAGCCACACAACATATACAAATACACTGTGACTCAAACAAGAAAAAAAAAAAAGAAAAAAAAAAGAAAAAGTTGAATGAAGACATTTACTTTGAAATCTTCTTTTAAAGTATCCTGGATGAGGCAAATATTATCTTATTAGCAAATACAAACATTTAATATGTCAGACACCACAGTGAGATGTTGCCGGCCTCAGATAGTGTCATTCCTTTTTCTCTCACTTAAGGTTGGTGGGAAGAATGGAAGTCAAATTTTAAACTCTTCTTTTGTTTTCAAGTAGGACTTATATTTTGTGGCAATAATTCATAGTTAAGATTATGCCCTCATTAATAGGCAAATCTAAAATGTATTTTTTTCTTCATTTAAAAAACTCTGAAATTTTCTCATAGAAGATTCATACACTTGTTTTCCAAAAGTAAGTCCACATTCTCTAAAATAGTTTAGAAGTTTAAATGTTAACTCTAAGCCAAATTTTTCCAACGAACCCAACCTCTACCAATCCATTGCCTTTAGGGAGATGAGTGAAGTGGAATATAAGTAATTCACATGTTTACTACTTTTCAGAATAGAGATACTGTAATTAACTGAATATTAATTTAAGAAACATAATATTTATCATATAATTTCCAAATAAATTTTAAGTGAAATTTACATCAAATCTATATTGACCATAATTTCAATTTTCTTGGAAAGTCAGAGCAATTCAGGGTCATTTGTCTACTTTAAGATCATGATTATGAACATTAAAAATCATGACTACAAATTACAATCTGGTTTACTTGGTAAGTAGACCCTGCAAAGACCCTAGTTAGTTAGGCTCAAAAGAAATAAAAACTTCGTCTCTGTTGTAGTTACACATCTATAAAGCTATTAATTTTAAAAATTGTAATCATGGATGTTAACCAAACTTATTGTAGTAATTATTTCACAACATATACATGTATCAAACCACTGTGTGGTACAACTAAAATACAATGTTATATGTCACATGTCTCAATTTTTTTAAAGTATTACTATCTAAACAAGTTTCCGTGGGACCTTTCTCCAGTCCCTTGTTGTGGGGAACTAAGCAAAGTTGGATGGGTGAAGGTTATGCACTAGATCCCTCCCTCGCCGCCGCCGTCTCCCTGGTCCGGGGTAAAACCCCTGAAGCACTTCCAGGAGGCGCCTTTTCAAAGCTCGGTCAAAACTACTGGACATCACAAAAGGCAGGAAGATTTTTCCTTCCCAAGCAAGGGCCAGGGAGAGCAGCCTGGCACCAACCTAGCCATGGCTACATCGCCGATACACCATTTCCTCTGCATGCCGGCGCATGGGCTCCATAAAATGAAAGTATGTTGAAAACTGGGGGGTGGGGGGCTATTACCTGCTGATGTAATAGCAGTATGACCCACCCGGATTTTCTGGCTCAAAGCCTTGCTGCCTTCTTTGATACTGCCCCTAAGACTCGTTTGATAAGATTTATAAGGGGGGAGGGGGGATTGGATCTGAAGAAAAGTTATTTGATGGGCAATTTGGGGAGTAGGGCGAGGAATGGATGGATTGGGGACCAACTTCGGTTCTCCTACCCCCTTCCCGCAACTAATTAGGATTGTTAAAATGTTATACAATGTAACTCTCGACAAAGAAGCAAGAATTTCTGGGCTCCTGAACGCAGTGGTCCCTGCGAAACCTCCAAGACCCTCCGCGAGTCCTTTGAGGAAGAGCTGTGATCCGACCAGCATTATCTCCGCTTTTGTTAGCGTTGCGGGTGGAGAGTGTGATAACGCCTAGCGCGGGGCCCTCCAAGGTCCAGGACCCCGGAGAAAGAGGCCTGTCTTAGGAGTCGCTGGGAGGCCAGGTAGTGCCAAGAGCTTCCCCCGTCCCCACCCGCCGTGACAATGACTTTCTCCTGGTGGCTGCCACCCGCATCTGCACTTTTCTTCCCCGTGGCCGGGGCAGGGCAAGTGCGGCTGCAAGGCAGCGAAGAGGCTTTCTGCACCGCGGAAAGACCGCTGCCTCCCAGTCCCAAACCTGGGTCCCCCGCCGTCTCCACGGTCCTGGATAAAACCCCGAAGGACTTCCACGAGGCGCCCCGAAAGCACGTGCAAGGGCACAGACCAGACCAGGCCCCGAGTAGACGGGCTAACCCGGCCCCGATAGAGACCTCGACCCCCGTCCCGGACCCGTCGCCCCGGCCAGGATCTCCGCCCCATCGGGTCCCTACCTGCCGGAGCCCGCGTCGGGCTAGGCTGCGCGTTCTTACGCGCCTTCTTCCCAGGCATCTCCGCAGGCGGCCGGCGATTACTCCGCGGCCAACCCCGGGGAACCCAGTCCCCGAACCTGGAGTCTGCGGGAGGCGAGCAGCGCGCGGGGCAGGCGGGGCAGGCGGGCCGGACCGGGCAGAACGGGCCGGATCAGGCCGGAGACCCGACTAGGAGCGCGCCCGAGAACCTCTGAGGTCCGGGAAGGCCAGGGCCCGCGTTTTCATCTTCTGGGGACTTCCCAGTGACGTAGGGAAACCAGACGCCGGGCCCGCCCCCTCCCCGCCCCTCTCCCCGCCCCGCCGGCCGCCCTTCGGCCCGGGCCCGGGAGGAACACCGCTCCACCTGGCGCGACCTGCCCGGACACGTTTCCCACCCGCGCGGCCCCGACCCGCGAGACCCCGAAATTACTCCCTGATCAAACCGGGCTGGGGGCGCCGGGCTCGGACCGAGGCTCGCCCAGAGTTGAGGCAGCTGCAGGAGCCGCCGGGTCCCGGAGTCGGGCGAGGAGGAAGGTTTTCCCGGCGGGAAAGTCGAGGGTGGGGAGGCCGGGAACTTCGTCCTTATCATAAATGCGCAATTAGAGACTTCTGTACACAGCCCCGCCAGAGCTGGCGAAGGAAAGTTGTCACTTAGAGAGTGTGGGGAGTTTCAGGGACGTGGCACGAAGAGAGCTTTGATAGCTGGAGGGATGTGGCCAGAGGCCAGGCTGCTCAAGAAAGATTGAAACTGTTGGGAGGTTCGCTACAAATTGAAACCCTGGAGCCAACACCGCTTTGATTTGGAAGGGGTGTGTGTGTGTGTGTGTGTGTGTGTGTGTAATAGTGGTGGTGGTGGATGTTTGGGTGGGAGAAGGAGGGGATTAGTTCTCCGCCCCGGAGTCAGGACTGTAATTTAAAAAGCTGAGCATATTCCCTCTGGATGGGTCACAATTGCTCGTTCTGGATGCTTAGTAACATTAAAAAACAATAATAATCCCATCATATAGAAAACATTCAAATGCTTTTGTGCAGGGAAACTTAAGGAATCTGGGAATATGAAGTTATTTGCATGAGGTTTGGCTGGCCCTTGAATAATTAATTTCATTATTATAAAGAGAAGGAGTCACTCGGTCTGCTTACCCTGAGAGCCGCTTAAGGCCAAGGGTTTAGGCGGGCGCGACACTGAGGTTAATCGAGACGAGGTTCACCGGGGCGGAATGCAGCGCGGGGGCTGAGCGCGGCGGGCCCACGCAGCGCGGGGCCCTTGCCCACTGCAGGCTTCCCGGGAATCAGTTTCTCAGAAAGTGCGTTCTCATATTGTCCGCGCTATTGAACGCACAAGTTGCAGATTGGCTGCTGAGAGCTGCGTGGCTTCCTAGAAGTATTAGGTTTGGTTCCCAAGATTGGTCTGCAAAATGTCTTTTGAACATTTGAATTGGGTTGCCAACATTTAAGATTGAGACATTGTAGTTACGGCTGGGGTTTCTGGCGTCCTGTGGAAAATCCGAAGTTCTCACAACCCGGGACCCGTTTCCCAAACGTGCAGAGCAGACGAGGAGCGGCGGCCGCCTCTTCCCGAGGGAGACCTGGGGCGGGAGCTCCCCTCGGCCGCACCCCCTGCTGTTTGTTTTCTCATTTACTTTATCTGGCCCCAGTAGGCAGCAGGTTGTTTATTTACCTCAAGTCATTCAATCAACACAGATCTGCAAGTATTTATGTTGCCTTGGTTCTGCAGGGGTGTAGACCACGCTGTAAGCATGGGGCAAGAACTACTCTTAAGTTTAAAGAACTTAGTTTTGAGTGTGGTAAGAGAATTCGGGAGTTTTCAGCACGCGATGTAGGAAGCAGGGTGGAGAGGCTGCCTCCAAGCCTCTGACCTGGAACCAGGTATCCCACCACTGGGGCTCCCCTTGGAAAGGCTCCTTTGCACTAACTTAATACTCAAGGCACACCATTAACTTCCTGCTTGGATAAATTAGTCAACTTCTGATCAAATCGCGCACGCTGAAAGGCAAGGAATACATTCAACTGCAACAACAAAAACAAATGATGTCCTGTTTATGTACAAAGGGTGTGTCAATCCTGTCCTCCACTATTATCATGATAAAAGGCTGTTGGTCACGTGACCCATACAAACCTCAGGCAACTTTGTGCCTTTTAGAGAATTGCAAATTCAACTTGTTGGAGAGGAAAAGAGGAGCAAGTGGGGGGTGGGCTTCAGAGATTGGTCAGAATCAGCTGTTTATGGAGAACTTTTTATGGTGTTGGATTTGAGACAGTTTGCAAACTCTTTCAGATCTCACATTCTACTAAGGAAATTTGAAGCTGAGTGTGAAGGGCTTTCTTCACTGTATACTTTTCTGGAATCCCCTCTTATCTGTTTAAAAAACACACACAGCCCTAGCTGGTTTGGCTCAGTGGATAGAGCGTTGCCCTGTGGACTGAAGGTTCCAGTCAAGGGCACTTTCCTGGGTTGCAGGCGGCAGCCGATCAATGATTCTCTCTCATCATTGATGTTTCTATCTCTCTCTCCCTCCCTCTTCCTTCCTGCCTGAAATCAATAAATATTTAAATCACACACACACACACACACACACACACACACACACACACACGGACTGCTGAGGATGGCAATTTTTTAACTACTACTAGATAGCAGTCTTCATGGACCAAATTAAAAAATGACAGTACAAATCCAGCCATGCCTGTGTTGTCCTTTTCAGTGTTAAAAATATATATACTGAAAAACAAAATAGCAGACTCGATTAGTAGTAGAATAGTCATATATTTCCTGCAGAAATGGGATTTGACAGGAAGAAGATACGAGAGATGAATAAAGGGGGAATTTTAAGGAAGACTGTGAAGATTGGCTGTAAACCTGAGTCTGTTTATTCTGATAAAAGAGAACTTTTTGTTGTTGTTTTTCGCTGTAGAGCATGGGTGTTAACGTGATATCAGCCTCATACATTGATCAGTTATATCTCTCTTTAAGACAGACATTGGGGTAGGCTCTGGGGAGACAAGTGTCCCGCTCCCATAGAAGCTGCATTGAAGAGATCAGTACCTCACAAATTCAATGTGCATAAGGCCACCCTGTTAAAATGCGCATCTGATGCTGAGAGCTGGCTGGTCTTGCAATTCTGCTTCTTAAACAAACTCTGGTAAAGCTAGTTTTTGGTCTATGACAGGGGTCCTCAAACTACGGCCCGCGGGCCACATGCAAATACAAATATTGTATTTGTTCCCGTTTTGTTTTTTTACTTCCAAATAAGATATGTGCAGTGTGCATAGGAATTTGTTCATAGTTTTTTGTTGTTTTTTTTAACTATAGTCCGGCCCTCCAACGGTCTGAGGGACAGTGAACTGGCCCCCTGTTTAAAAAGTTTGAGGACCCCTGGTCTATGACATCACTTTGAGTAACAAGGCCATAGGGTGATACAGGAAAGAATACAGGCAGGTGCAATAAGATGGACATCAGAGCTGTGCCAGGGAAATTATGGCAGACTGTGGGAGGACAAGTAAGCAGGAAAGGGCATCTACATAGGGATAAATAGGAGTTGGCCAAGCAATGAGGCCAAAGGGAAGAAGTATGTTCCCTGCAGAGAGTGAAGAGCAGTGTGAGGTGGGAAATGGTGAGAGGTAAGTGGGGAGAGAAACCGCTTGAAAGTGTGGGTATTACTGTGGGAGCAATGGGGGGTGGCGGGAAGACCACTGAAGGTTTTAAGCAGGTGGGTGATATGATTAGATTCTAGAAAGCTCACTCTGGCTGCAGTGTGACTAGATTAGTTGAGTTGAGACTGGAGACAGTGTGACTAGTGAAGATACTGTTAGCATTTTCACACAAGATGGGAGAGTCAACGAAGTCACTGTTGACTTTAAAATGCACATCTGATGCTGAGTTGGCCGATCTGTTTATTGTCTACTTCCCCTTTTGAAGTAAGGCTGTTATGGGGCATGTTGGGAAGGACCGTCCACATTGAAAATGTGACTAGGAAAGGTCCACATTCTGTTAGAGCATGACTTGATGTTTTCAAATAATAATCAAAATCTCCTGTATTAGTTTCCTAGGGTTGCCATAACAAAGTACTGAAAACTGGGTGGTTTAAAACAAGAGCAATGTCTTTTGGCACAGTTCTGGAGGCTGGAAGTCTGGAATCAGGGTGTCGGCAGGGCCCCCCTCTCCCTGGGGGCTCCAGGGAAGAGTCCTCCTTTGCCCATTCTAACTTCTGGTGGTTGCCGGTAGTCCTTGCAATCCTTTGCTTATAGATGTATCACTCCGATGTCTGCTTAGGTTTTTAAATGGCCTTCTCCTCTGGTTGTCTGTGCCCAAATTTCCCTGTTCTTATAAGGCCATCAGTTATTGCATTAGGGCCCAGGCCAATCTAGTATGACCTCATTGTAACTTGATTACATCTGCAAAGACCCTATTTCCAAATAAGATCACATTTGCCAGTTGGCAGGTGTGGGGAGTGGGGCGGGGAGGGGTGGGGCGGTAAGGAGTTAGGACTTCAACATATCTTTTGAGGTACACAATTCAACCTATAACATTTCCCTTTATCAACTGTCTTTTCAAAAAAGTTCTATGTATACACTCTCATCCTATTTACAATTGGCACGTTTTACAACCAAAAGGCTCTTAGTAAACTGGACAATGGATTTAGGCAGCCTGAAATAAAGGTCCAAAGCAGTAGAGATAAGATAAGAAATAAGATGACCTTTGAGGGAACGGGTTTGGAACATCTGTCAGCCACAGAAAACACATCCAGTGCTTAGTTGGAGATTGTGGTATGACCCACCCCCCCCACCTCCACCCCAGCTGGACTTGCTACTCACAAAGGCAAACAAGTTTTCCAGAAATCCTTTGATGGAATTTGAAAGTAAATTTAATTTCTTTTAGTGCTACAAAAAGCACATTATAAAATGTGGAAGACAGAGGAGACAAAAATTTTCATCTCCCAAAGTTTCTGTTCTTCATTTTATTTTCCCTTGTTATTAATTATTTTCTGGATTATCACAGATAATGATCATCAAGCTTGTTCATGCTTTTTTTTTTCTGTTAATCTTCACTCAAGATATTTTTTCCATTGATTTTTTTTTTTTAGAGAGTGGAAGGGAGAGAAGGAGTGGAAGAGAGAGAGAGAGAAACATCGAGGTGAGAGAGACACATCTCCCATATGAACCTCAACCAGGGCTGGGGATCAAACCTGCAACCCAGGTATGTGCCCTTGACCAGAAATCGAATCCAA